GATTACAAGCACGTCCTCCAAAGCCATCTCGGCACTCACATTGACCGGTATAACGGTTACATTGTTCAGATAGGGAACCAATTGGATCACATTCACAAGCTTCGCAACCTTCACCGGAAGCGATTTTCCAATGATTTACCGCGCATTCATCGCAACGTATGCCCTGTACATTGGGCAAGCACGGACATTGGCCGGTATAGCGATCGCAATGCATAATCGTTTTGTTCGTGCCCAAAAAGTCACAATCGCATTGTACGCAATTCTGTTGTAACGCATCACCGAAATAACCGTTGCGACAGAGCTCACAATGATCGCCAGTCGTATCATAAAGACATTTTAAGCACTGTCCATTGCGTCGATCACAATTTCCGGTATCATAAAGATCGATATTGTTGCTACAATCACATTTTTGGCAGGAGCCGCCTGGTGTCTCGGCATCGCCGAAATAATTGTCAGCACAGACCTCACAACGTCCGCCATCATAACCCTCTTTGCAGTGACAAATCATGTTATTATTGCGTGTATCAAGCGAGCAGCCTTCAGCATGTGTATTACCGCTGGCAACTGTGTCGGGGCAACGGCAAGCGCGACAGCCTATCTCACTGCCCAACAAGGGATTGCCGTAATAGCCTTCCAAACAAGCGTCACAAGCATAACCGTTTGTAAAGTCCAAACAGTTGATACATTGACCAGTGTGGGCGTCACATTGCTGAGCATGTCCATTACATTCGCACACCTGACAGTTGGGGAAGTTCCAATAACCCGGTTGACACTGATCGCACTCACGTCCGTAGGTATTGGGGTGACAAGCACACTGACCCGTAATTAGGTCACAGTTGTTGTCTTTCGAGCCAATACTATTACAGTCACAAGCTTTACAGCCTTCTGGTCCAAAACCATACGTGCCGGGAGCACACTGATCGCATTGACGACCCATTACATTCGGTTTGCACTGACAGAAACCACCATGTGGGTCACATTCCTTACTCAGCGCGCCTGTCGGGTTACAGTTACACATACTCGCGCCATCATGTATCTCCGTGCTGGCGTAATTCTCCAAGTCTTGACAACGTGGGTCCACAATGTTGGTGTAACGTATGTCATACAGCGACTGATTGCAGCCCATTTGTATATATTCGCGACGGCGCAGATCGGCAGCAATCGAGCCAGTGAATACCGATGTTACTTCAATGCGTGGTACCAGCGTCAGTGAGTCAATCATAATTGTGGCAGAGGGATTGTCTTCATTTTGACGACGTCGTTCGAAATGTATTTTGAACTTATACACCTTATTCGCTTCCAGACAGACATTGCGTAGTGCCACAACTTGACGATCGCGCTCGGGTAAAGTAAATGGTATACGCGTTTCGTACACACTCGAACCGGGTTGTACGCTGGATGCGCAAACACCATCCGGATCTACTTCGTCGTTACGTACAAGTGTTATATAAGCTTTCTCCCAGTCATCACGTGAAGTGGTCTGATAACGTATCACCACATCGTAGGGCATGGAGCTTGGTATATCGTCCACAGTTATTATAAATTCCGAGTTTTCCGGTACCCGTGTAAAGCCGATACCGGTGTAGTCGGGCAAACGATCGGGCAGCGGTTGATATGGCACAACAGTGCAATTACCATTATTATTAAGCGATATGCACACATCGGCAAACTCAACATCGTGTACGACATGTAATGGTGGTATAAAATAATTCTGTTTCGGCTGTGAGCAATTGCGTCCACTCATGTGTGGACGGCAGCGACACTGACCCGTTATAACGTCGCAGAAATTGTCATATGAGCCACCAACATCGCAAGCGCACAGCGTACAACCATCCTCCGACTCTGAGAGCCCGTAAGTTTGTGGTGCACATTGATTGCAATCCTTGCCGGTAACCAAACGCTTGCACGTGCACTCACCGGTGTACATATTACAACCCGAATTATCAATTGTGCCGAGCGTGTTACATGTGCATTGCTCACAACCATCAGGATTTTCGGGTAACAAGTTCCAAAAGCCATCTTTACAGGTATTGCAACGACGGCCCTTGACATTGCTCTTGCAATGGCAAGCGCCCGCCTCAATGCCATTTTCGGGATCGTTCACCGAATCGCAAATGCCCTCATCCAAAGCACCATTCAAATCGCAATTACACGGTCTACACACTTCCGGACTACGTATATCCTGTTCGGGATCACGATAGAAGAACGGCATACACTCCTCACAATGCTGACCCTGCGTATTGTGCATGCAATTATCACACACACCACCTGATATGCGTCCCGATTGTTCGAAGACTTTCTCATCAAAATGACAGCTGACCGCATGTTCGTTACATTCGCATTTCTTGCAGGCATTGGTCTGTTTGCCGAAAGCCGGTTTCCATGGCAGATCGTTGAAGAAGTCTTCGCAAGTTTCACAATTCAAACCTTTAGTATTATGTGTGCACTGACAACGGCCATGCACCATATCGTATTCATTCGACTCAGTGCCTTCCAATGGCAGACACTGCGAGGCGTGACCGTAGCAAGAGCATGAGCCACGTACCACCATATTGCTGATACCATAGTAATATTTCTCCTCCATTTCCAACCGATTGTCCAGCAGATTATCGCCCAGTTTATGCAGTTTAGTGAAATTGATACGTAAATTGGTCATTTTCAACATATTTTGCACGTGTGTAGCATACGGGTCGGACACATTGATATTCGGCGGTAGCACACGGAAGATCACTTCACCGTTGCGTGAAGGCTCCACGTGGGAATAGCGCGATGTACACATAACATCGGTGATGTTGCGCAATACAATCGGCACACCGGGGAATGACTCCTCGCAATCGTAAGCGAAGTAACGGTACACATGCCAAGTTTGACCAAAATCAAACGAGCGCTCGATCAGCATAGCCGCCGGCCGAAAAGTGGTGAACGTGATGATCAAGTGGGTAAAGTGAAACTCGGCTTCCAAATCCAATTGTATGGTCACATTTTCTTTGCCGTTCTCCGATTGCCACCAGGTGGGTAGGTTCGTGCCCGGTTTCGTTTTGTAGATGATTTGTCCGATACGATGATTCTTATAGGGATCATTGCGCGTATCCTCGCGTGTATCGCACAAGAAACACTTCTTATGCTCCAAATGCGAGAGTATACAGAAACGTTCTGGCGTATGTATGCCACAAGTGGACGAGGCGGTTAGACGATTTTCACGTCCTATCAATAGATTACCCGTCGCCGGGTAGCATGAGGAACGTTCACATGGATGTGTCTTTTTGTATTCTCTAGGCGGATTTAGGGGACGATCGCGACGCCCAGTCAGCCGCTGTGCCTGTGTTGTTGATACTGCACAACTGCTCAGCAATACGAACAGGCAGACGGCGATAAGCGTTCTGATGCTGGTGTTGTTGTTGTTATTGTTGTTGTTATAGTTGAGGCGGCAGCCATATGTGCTGCCGCGTTGTGACTTCGACATTATTGATGAGAAATTCTGGCGGTGATTAAGTGGCCCGTTACTCGGTTTGTGTATTAGTATGGCGTTCGTTTGTGGAAAGGGAGCAGTCTATACCGACGACACGACGCGACACGAAGCGTGGTGCGCCTTTATGTATAGTTTCGCTTAATAATTGCTTTTAGATTTCTTTACTTTTAAGATTTGTGTGTTGTTTTGACTGCGCGCATGTGTGTGTGTGTGTATGTGTGTAAAGTGAATGTGTAAATGTATGTGTGTGCCAGTAGTTTCTGCAATTTCCGGTTGTAACCAGGCGATTTAAAATCAGTACGCAAGCTCTAGTTTTTAATGTGCTGTGTTATTGTTGCTGCCTTCTTCCTCTACTCCTTCTTCTTCTTCGTCTTGTTATGCCGCCTCTACTTGAAAAGCTGTGGCACTTGTGCTCTTTGCTTGAACTTATTCCGTGCGATTACGAGCTGTTGGTAATCTTAGAATAGCTTCGACTGTGTGTGTATTTAACTTCCTCTCCTCGTGCGCGTGTGTGGAGAAAAATATCGCGGTGACCTCTTCTTGCTAGATGATTACGAAATAGTGCTTCCTGCATTGCGTGTGGGCAAATGCATTGTTGTAACTCCACCTGCGCGTTTGAAAAGCAAAATATTAATTTCGGAAAAACGAGTAAGGCAAAAAAAAATTCTGGAGTTACTTGTTATGGTGTGAAGTGGTGTGAATTTTCGACAGTGCTTAAAGTTCCAGTGCAAAATCTGTAAGAAGTAACTGTTCATTAGCTGTATTTGGAGAGTAAATAAACAGTTTTGTTGAATGAAAATATTGTGGGTAGTGGTGTTTTGGCGTTTATTTTACTTTTTGTCCTAATGTTTTGGCAATTTTTGTGTTAAAAAATTTAATAAATTAATAAAATAAGAAAAAAAGAAAAAAGAAGAATATGAAAGTAATATTTAATACTGAAAAATGTTAAAATTCCTTTTTTATTATTTTTACAACTTATTTGGTTCTTTATTCCCAATCTGGTTCAAGTCGGATTTAATAGTCGCGTTTTCATTAGATTTTTATTATTTTAAAAAATTGATAAATACAAAGAAATGTCGTTCAAATTTTCTCAATTTGTTTTAGAAAACTAAGTTTGAGTCACGATATTTATAAAAATTTGTTTTCGTAATTATTTTTATAATATTACTTAGCAAATAGTTTACAACACAGCTAAAAACTTATAAAGCACACAATTTGTAGTGCATTTTTGTTATATAATTTAAATTTTTTATTCTTTTCGTTTTTCTTTATGAATTTATTTCAAATTATATTTCATAATTATTACTTTTTAATATTATAAAATAAAATGTTTTTTTTTTTTTAACATAATTTTTATAAACACATTAGACTTGCACAAAAAGCTCACTTATATGCACTAAATAAAATTATTTTTTTATTTTATTTTATGGGCAATTATTTTGTATTTTATTTTACTAAATATATGTATGTTGAGCTGAATAATTTCTATTATCAAAATATAATTTTAAAATTCTGATTTATTTTTAAGTTTTTTTGTAATTTCTTCTGGATTTTATTGCTTTTGTAATCAACCGAAAAAATCAATTTCATTATTTTCTTTTATTTTATCAAATCTTATTTGATTTTTCAATTTTCTTACATGTTTTTATAATTTATTAAATTTATTTTAAATATATTTTAATTATTGCATATAATATTTAAAATTTAATTTTTATAGCAATATATAATAATTTCACTCAATTTTAAATTAAATTAAAATAATTATTATTAGAGCTTAAATTTTAGTCATAATTTTATTTATAATTTTTATTTTAATTTTAGTTTTAATTTTTATTTTGGTTTTAATTTCAATCGCAATTTTATCTGAAACTTTTTTTATCTTTACTTTCATTTCCTTTTAATTGTTGTTATTAGTTATCGTTCTAAAATATTTTAGTGTATACTCGTATAATACATTTTAGTTTAATTGAGTTTTAATTTAATTCGTACATTTTGAATCTTTTTATATTTTCTTGCATATTTTTTCACTAATTTTCATTTTAATTTGTAAAATCTTTCTGAAATAATTTTAACTGTTACTTTCCGAGGAAGGTTTTATAATTTTTTCACATTAATCAATTTATTTAATACGTTTTTTTGCCTTAGTATAATTTTTCATGTTTGCACAATAAGTTTATCGATATCACAGACTCAAAAGGTGTATCCATAATAATAATTTCCATTATTAATTACTTGTATACCAATTTTATACCAAATTTTCTAAACACTTTTGGCGAACTTTTCTTCTTTATGCACTTCCAAAAAAAATTTAAAAGTTCGAAATTATTTTTCAAGCAACAAATACTTCAAACTTTTTTGACTTTCCAACACTTGTAACCCCATTTGAAAATACATTTTTTTTTAATATGCTCTCTTCACTATCTTCCTGCTACACTTACACTTTGTCACTTATCTCTTAAGTTTGTTTTTATGATCCACTATCTTGTTTTTGTTTCTTGCACAAAAGCCTAAGCTGTTAATTAGTTTTCGAAAAACTTTGGGCGAACCGAGCCCGACAAGCAACGCGGTCAGACTAAAGTTATAAAATGGAATTTTTGTACGCCAGCGCGTACACAAGTCACCCCAACCCATACACATTCAAGTTAGTAGGAAACCTACATAAATACATACATAGAAAATTTTATATATAGTACTTTATGAACAAATGTATACCCATAAGAATTTCACTCTTTCTTGACGATAAAAAGAATCATTGAATTAACATTTATGCTCTGCTTATGATGCTCATTTTTTATTCATGATGCCTTTTTTAATTTTTATCAGCTAACAAATAAAATTCATTGGTGTATGTATAACGACACTTAACACGGCCAAGCAACAGGAGCGCTTTGGGAAGCACACATCACTTTATGGAAACAGCTTGGAGCATAAAGTTTTGACAGCGAACGCATTACTTTTTGGGATATAGCTTAAGAAATATAAAACAACTTTTAGAAAAGTTATTTTAGTAAAGCTTTCATCGCAAAAAATATCATAGAAACCGAAAATTGATTATTGATTAATTAATTGAAAATTTAAATAATTAATTGAAAAAACTATATTTCAGATTTTTTTACAATGCTTGCAAACAAACAGGAACATTTTTAATGAGAAGATGATGTAACTATAATTAAGTTTCACTTAGTTAAGTATTTTTTTACTATTAGTTATTGAATAGTGTAAAATTTTTAAGAGTAAAACTTTTAAAAAAATTTAGTTTCTCGAATTTTTTTACACAAAAATTTTCTTTAATATTTTGTAAAGCTTTTGGGTGAAAGCTTTAAAATTCATTTCTACAAAAGACAGTAGCTGTTAAATATTTAATCATCGGCATTTAAGGGTTAACATGAAAGCGCATTTATTAAAATCATGCGATATAAGTGAAAGTTTATGTTTCACTTTTATATTTTAACACTTTTATGGCATTTTTCTTAAAAAATACAAAGCTTACACTATTTATCACACATAAAAAGCACTGCTATCGGTTAAAAAGCTTTTCGAAAGCAATCTAGCCAGTAAGTTTTAAGCTTCGACATTTATTTGATTTAGAAAAGCATGAATTGTCGAAAGTTAGTGAGATTTGAGTATAATCAAGGCTTACTTTCATGTAACGAAAGCTCTCAAAGCATGAATTCTCGAAAGTTCGTGAGTTTTGAGTATTAAAATGGCTTACTTTCATGTAGCGAAAGCTGTCAAAGCATAAATTGTCGAAAGTTCGTAAATTTTGAGTATTAAAACGGCTTACTTTCATGTACAAATTGATTCACATTTTAATTCAAACAAATTATTAAATTACCTAAATGCTTTCATTTAATAATCAACAAAAGCTTTGATTCTAATTTTTTCATATTTTTCCATTTCAAAAATAACTTTCACTGAAAATGCTCATTAAAAAGAATGTACTGCATAGTATTTAGAATATATATATGTATTTCACTTTATGTGATGCCTATGTATGTTACTCTACATACATTCACTTGGTGTCTAACTGATAAGACTTGAACTAAAAATATGACATATGCTAGGCTAAATACTCATGATCAAACAGACTTGAGCGGCGCCAAATCGTTGAAAATGTCAGAATTGAAATCGAAGCGGGATCTATGAACAAAACTACACAGTTTTGATATATAAATTTAATGTGTTTATATGTATATACATACATACATATGTATTTATGTGAGCGTACATAAATTATGTTTTATAGCGCTTTGGCGTACACTCTGGCAACTCATGCGCCCACAAGATTTTCAAGCCTACTTCTAAGTATAATAAAATACGCACATGCTTATACATATATACACACAAACATGCATACACAAACATATATGTGTATGTACTGCAAAGCGTCAACTGATAAAGAGTTCATTCACTGATTTAGTTGTATTACATATACGAATTTATTATTGTTGTTATTTAATTTTTAAGGTTTTCTTGATTCACAAGTTTTCGTTAAAAGTAGTTCATGTGATATTTTTAAAAATATTTTTTTTTTGTGGAGCTCATGCTGTACCATGTTGAAAGTAGGCAAACAGGCATGCCGCCGCTTTTGAATGTTGCAAGTTAAATATATAAATGCATATGCATATGTGTGTGTATGTGGTTGCACTTACATTTTTATTTAGTTGAAATTAGTTGCAATGCTATTTGTAAATTAGAATTAGCAAAACTGTAATGGGAGCAGAAAAAAGTAATAAAATTAAAAAAGCGCAGACATGGCAATGCACTTGAGCGCGCTTTTATTTTGTTGTTGTTGTTGCGTTTAAGCTTTTATTGCAATTGTTGTTGCTTTTAATGCATTCTAACACTTAAAGCAAATTTTTGCGGACATGAGCTCATCCAGTTAATCCCACTGAAAATAGATCCATGAAATAATTGTGCAAATTATTGTTGTTATTGTTGTTGTAGCTATTATTGTTATTACTAACTGCTATATGAGTGCCTTGCGTGATATTTTTACTTATTTTGTTTAAATCCATTTTTTGCCGTGCGCCACATCTGCTTGTGCGCGTATATGTGTGTGTGTGAGTGTTTAGCTAAATTAGAAACTTAATGCAGAACTTGAAAATTTATCTCTCATTACTTGGTTAAATATTTGCACCCAACAAAAATTGTTTAAGAAAAAATTAAAAAAAAAACAACAAGCAAAATGTGTTTGCAATGTGTGACTGATTCTTTTGGGCTCAACAGTTGGCTGGCTGCAGGTATGTGTGGTTGTAGATTCACACATATGAAGTACAGCATACATGGTTTTGTAGCGAAGTACATATTGTACATACGCATTGGTATGTATGTGAATGTGTGCGTGCTTTTTTGTGGGTGTAGATCTTTGAATGCGATGGAAATAAATAGGAATTGAAAATTTGATTAAATCTGTTCACGTACGCAGAGAAAACAATACACAAGAAAATATATTTGAAAAAAAAGTAATTATAGATGTGTCATGTATCTATGTCCTTTTATGTTGTAATTGCGCTTTCAACAAACCAATAGAATATTAATGTATTCAGAGGCTAATTAAAATTAGACAAATATTTTGTGTAGAAGTAAAAAAAAGTTTGATAATTAAAGTAGTCATCAGCAGTTATAAAACGCTTATTCCAAGGCTGCTTTTAATTTCAAATCATCCCTAATAATTATTATTTTATATATGTAAGTTGGAAAAAAAAACATCTTTCTCTTTGAAAACAGGAGA